CGACCCCCAGCATCCCATAAAGACCCCGGAGCACTACAGGGAGTGATCCTGAGCCCAGAGCCAGGAATGAGACTTAAGTTGGGTGTAGCCCCCAAGCAAAACAAAACAAAAAGATGACTCTAGGAGATGGGAGAGTGGGCTAAGAGCGAATTTAAACCAGAATGCCTAAGAGAAATGATTTGGCCTTGTTTCTACTGAAATTGTAATTAGCAATGCTCAAAAAAATAAAAACCCTAAAAGCAAAAAAAATCCTAGACCAGGCAGGCGAGCTGTCAGCTGAACAAAAAGATCCTTATCCACAAAATAGTGACCTTTTGGAGGAAAATAGGAGAATGAAAGGGGGGGGGGTGGAGAAAAGTGGACAGCATTTGTGTTTATTTCTCTCTAGGGACTTTGAGAAAGAACCTCTGTCCCAAAGCCAGAGACATCTTCTCCCTGCAAGATAAGCAATCAAGCCCACGGCTGTAGCAGGTTGTAAAATTTACTGTGCTGCAAAGGGGCCTTTTATTCTTTCTACTGAAGGGAAAGAGGCAGAACAGAGAGAACAGAGGGTAAGTTCCACACACAGCTGAACTGAGCTGGATCCCCAGCACAGCACAGGGTCCGAGCCCTGCCAGTCAGTGATCCCTGAGGGCAGGGCCAGGAGTAAGCCCGGTGCACTGGGCGTGACCCAACAACCAAAAAGAAAAGCAAGGGAACCGAATTCCTGACCCTCAATAATTATAGTTACTGAGCGATATAGCACAGCGGGTAGGGCATTTGCCTTGCAGCCGACCAGAGTTCGATTCCTCCATCCCTTTCAGAGAGCCCAGCAAGCTACCGAGAGTATCCCGCCCTCCCGGCAGAGCCTGGCAAGCTCCCCGTGACGTATTCGAGATGCCAAAAACAGTAACAACAAGTCTCGAAATGGAGACGTTACTGGTGCCCGCTCGAGCAAATCCATGAACAACGGGAGGACAGTGCTATTAAAAAAAAAATGACCTAAACCAGCTATGAACCAGGTTCTGTGCGAAGTGTCTCATGCAGATGCAAAAGGAGCGATCCCTGAGCACAGAGCCAGGAAGAAGCCCTGGTCAGGCACAGCAGAGGGAGCCTGCTGCATGCCTTCTTGGAGCTCTCCCGTAACCTTAGGAGCACAAAGAAAGAAGCACAAAGCAGGGGCTGGAGTAATAGCGCAGCGGGTAGGGTGTTTGCCTTGCGTGCGGCCGACACAGGTTCGATTCCCAGCATCCCATATGGTCCCCTGAGCACCGCCAGGAGTAATTCCTGAGTACATGAGCCAGGAGTAACCCCTGGGCATCGCCAGGTGTGACCCAAAAAGGAAAAAAAATTAAAAATTAAAAAAAAAAAAGAAGCATAAAGCAGGCCAGCTGAGAGGACTGTGTGTGCCTTTCATACAGGAGACCCCGGTTCAATCCCCAGCTCCAACATACTCAGGAACCTGGGCACTGCCAGTTTCTGACCCTCAATTTATTTATTTATTTATTTATTTAAGCACCAGCCAGCAACATCAGGCACACCTCTACCCATGGGTAGTTGCTGACTGAGAGTTGACAGAGGACTGCCTGTAACCAGCTCCGGGCAACGCTCATTCATATACAGTATCTTACTGGTATTCCAGAACTTTCTGAACCCTCACCCCACACTGGTGAAGCCAGGGCCCTCTGAGCCGGTCGCATGCACCCTGGGCAGGATGGAAAAGAGTTGCAGAAGACACTTTGCCTGCTCAGGATTGTCCCCTGAGGAAAAAACTCCACCATACCACCCCAGACACACTCCCCAGGTTCGTGGGACACACCAGAGAAACAGGAAAAGTTCTGAAGTTTCTGGTAAAAAACTGCTGGAAGAACTGGGGCCAAGGCAAGAGCATGTGCACTGAGAAGAAGCCCCAGGACTGTCACTTCAGTAGTAGCAAGGCTGGCCTCCGTCCCCAGGCTGCCATTTCGGGAATTTGGTCTCCCCTAAACAGCCCTCCAAACCCTGCAATTGTGCGAGCTCAGGCCTTCAAGTGAGTATTTCTCCTCTAGTGGAGTTTTGCTTTTTGTACTCAAGAATCCCGAACTCATCCCTCCACCCTAGGGGCACTGGGTTTTTTTGATAGACTGGTATTTGGTTTTGCTTCGGTTTGCTTTAGTTGGCTGGATTTTGGACCACACCCTGCCGCCACAGAGCTCAGGACTTACTCCTGGCTCAGTGCGCAGGGCTCACTCCTGGCAGGGCTGGGGGACCAAACTCAGGGATGAATCCCGGCTGTGCCCCGTGCAAAGCCAGACAGAGCCTTTCACCCTGGTACCATCTCCCCAGCCCTCGAGGCACGTTTTTGGACAGACAGCCTGCCTGTCAGAACAGTGGAAGGGTGAGAAGAGCAGAGGGGTGCAGGGAGCCGGCTCCAAGGTCAGGGCGCATGCCCGCACGCACGGGGCACTGCGTCTCCCCTGCATCTCTGGGGCGATTTTAAAAGCGAGCAAAAAATTAAGGGGGTGCGAACAACTCCCTGGGCGGGAGGTGAGTCGGGAGAGGCAGCAGCAGGTGCGCGAACAACCCGAGGGATGGTGGTGCATGAGCATCTCATCACCAAGCAAGTCAGACCCTGCTCCCGCCCGGCACCCCTCACACCCCCTCTGCCACCACGGGCGCGCAGCGGGGAGGCTCGTTTCCAGGGCAACCCCAGGGTGGAGCCGCTCAGCCTAGTTCCTTGACAGCGCGGGTCCCCGAAGAGGAAGAGCAGCCCACGGGCGGGCGCACGAGCCCGGCCCTGAAGCTCCAGACTGCTGCGGGCTGGGGAGGCGGCGGTGGAGGGGGTCGTGGGGGGCGGGGAGGAGCAGGTCAGGGCTCTCTGTCAATCACCCGGGCCTGGGATGCGCCTGCGCGTTGCCCAGTGGAGGCCGCCTGCCGCAGCACCTCCCCGCCAGCCGCGTCCCGCGGGTTGGTGGGTCACTAACCGCTCCGGGCTCGGATAAATGTTTGGAACGTTACAAAGTTGCCGTGTCGGCCCTTGAAATTAACACGCGCCCTTGCCACTGTTTCTAGCGGAGGCGAAGAAGCCCAGGTCCCGCAAATATAGGCTCAGCTGCCTGACTGCCTGAGACACAGCAGGGAGCGGCCTGGCGTCCATCCCTGACACCACCGAGTCCCCTGAGCACTGTGCAAGGAGTACCCTGCCCAATAAGAATAGCCCCCAAAAGTACTACTTTGTTTTGAGCACCAAAACATAATGATCAAGAGTTTATCAACATCCTCCCGACCCACCCCACGGGAAGAACAGGTCCTGGGTTTTTTGTTTTGTTTTGTTTTGTTTTGTGGCTTTTTGGCTCACACCCGGCGATGCTCCTGGTTCCTCCTGGCTCTGCATTCAGGAATTACTCCTGGCAGTGCTCAGGAGACAGAACCCAGGTCGGCCACGTGCAAAGCAAACGCCCTACCCAACTGTACTATGGCTCCGGCCCCAAGTCCTGGGAGTATTAATTCCCCCTCGGGATAGAAGTAGAGTCTGGAGCTAAGGGAGCACCCTCTTGCCTAATGGTTTCAGAACAATGACCCTGTCTTTACCATAGGGTTTCCTGGACAGACCAGAAGTCACTTGGCGCCCCTCTGGAACGAGGTCTAATCTTTGTGGCTTCTAAATTGCTACTCTTGGCCCTGTGCCCAGGGTTCACTCCAGGCGGTGCTCAGGGGACTCTGCAATGCAAGGGGATCGAACTGGATGGGCCCCGAGGTTTATGTCTTCAGTCCCGCCTCACCCAGAGATTCCAAAGAGACTTTAAGGGACTGGAGAGATAGTCCAGTAGGCAGCGCGCTTGCCTTGCATGCAGCTGACCCCGGTTTGATTGCCGGTACCCAATATGGTCCCCTGTCCACGCCTGGGGTGATCCCTGAGTGCAGAGCCAGGAGGAACCTCTGAGCACCTCCTGGTGTGGCCCCCAGACCAATAACAACAATAACAATAAAGTCTTCCCAGGTTCCCAAAAAGATCCTACCGGTCTCCGCACTCCCTCGATCCCATTCCTGGTTTCAGCCACACACCCCCAAGCAAGCCCTGTGTGGCTCTTCCAAGAGCAGGGACTTCGGGGTTCCAGGGAAGGCCCGACCCCACATCCCTCTTGTGCATCTCGGCATTAGGAGCTGATGTGCGCCTTTGCGCGTCTTCCCTCGGAGACGCAAGGAGGCTGGGCTTCTCCTGCCCCCACTGCCCGCTGCCGAGGGCCTCGTCCAGCGCTCGCCCAATCCCCCAGCCCTAAGCCTTCCACCCCCACCAGGGCCGGGGCCAAAGACCAGAGGCGGCGGGCTGGGCCGCGGTGCGCGCCAGGGACCCGAGGTCAGCGCGGTAGCCCTTGCGGGGCCCACGCGGCGCCCCCGGGGGTCCGGCGCTGGAGTTGGGGACGCGTTCCGGCCCCCAAGGCTGGGGGCAGCGAGGGCGGTGCCACGTCCCAAGTGGAGGCGACCGATGCACGCAGGTGTGACCGAGGCAGGACCGCCGGGGGTAGGCGCGGCCGCGCCGTCGGGGCTCGGTGCGGGCGGCGCAGCGCGGATGCGGCGGGCAGGGCCGGCTAACCCAGAAACTTCGGGCACCCCGAGAGCGCGGCTGGGCAGAGTAAGCGGCGGATGCTGGGGGGCAGGGGGAGAGAAAGGGGGACTTGGCCGGCGCGGGGAGGGAATCCCCTTTCTCCGCTCCGTGCGCGACCCTCCAGGCGGGCCCGTGCCGGCTCTTCACGCCCTACGTCCCCCGTCGCGTCCTTAACGGGCCCGCGGAGATGCCGAGTGGCGGGCCGGGAAGGGAGCTCCTGGGTCCCGCAGGGCACCCTGCAGCCCCCCGCCGGCCCCCCAACACCCCATAAGGCTCGAGGGGGGCGGGGAGTCCCGGTATTCTCCCGACTCGGCCGTGCGCACAGAGTCGGGGCTGAAGTTGGAGATCCCGGAGGAGGGTTGGGGGGAGGGGGGAGGCGCGGTCTACGCGACCCCCAGGGGCAGGCCCGGGGCTTGCGCGCGCCGGGAGCACTTACCCCAGAGCAGGGTGAGCAGCTGCGCCTTGGGGATGAGCAGCAACGCGTACACGGCGCCCAGGTGCAGCAGGCTCATGAGGACGACGTTCCTCCAGACGATGTCCTGGCGCTCCCCGCGCGCGCCCCCCCGCGCCCTCGAGCCCCGCGCGGACCTCCTCCTTGGCGCTGGGGAAGGGCGCCCGGCCCGCGGCGGCCGCGGGGCCCGGCATGGCTGGGGCAGAGGAGGCGGCCTCAGGCGGGCGCGCGGGCCCGGGCGCCACCGAGCTCTCCGGTGGGGGCAGCGGGAGGATGGAGGGGTGGGGGGTGGGCCGTGTTTTCGGGGTGCAGGAGTCTCCGCACCTCAAGGCGCTCGGCCGGGCCTACGGCTGCAAATCTGGGCTCCCCGCATCTGTTGCTGGCGTCTCCCCCATGCCCACGGCGCGGCGAGGAAGGGGAGGCGCGCGCGGGGCGGGAGGGGGCGCGCGGGGAGCCGCGGGGACCGCGGGGGCGGCGCGGGCACCGGGCAGAAAGAGCTGCATAGCTACAGCCAATCAGCGGCGCCGGTGGGGCTCTTAAAGAGAAAGGCGCCCCCGGGCCCGGGCCCAGGGGGGATAGGGGCGTGCCCCCGGACCCGGATCCCGCCCGCGCCTCCTGCCCTGTCCCTCGCTGCGCGTTCCCCAGTGCCTCCCGGGTCCCTGGCCCTTCAAGAAGGCCTATCCCCCCTACCACAGGCCAGCCCGTCTTGCAGAATTAAAAATTTGCCTGGGATGCCCGCAGTCGCGACCCAGGGAAGGCCGGATCTGAGATGGAAAATCGGAAGTGGCCCGGCCAGCCGCTTCCTAAGGGTTCCCGGGGTCCGTGCGCCACGCGAGGGCGCGCCCCTGCGGCCGGGCACACAGTAGGTGCTCGGTGAGCGCCCCTGCACGGTGTCTGTCCGCTGCCCACCAGCGCCCAGCATCCCCGCCTGGACCGTTGAGGTTGAATCCTCAGCTAACCCGTGGCTCTGAGGTGCCCGACAGTCAGCATCTGAGGGGGGAAATGACCCCCGGCGTCCCACGGAAAATTCACCGGAGTTCGCGTTTCTCCCCTTCCTAACTCAGATCACTTTACAACGGTCCGCGGGGACAGAGACGCTGAGGGGTGAGCTGGAAGTGTCCCAAGCAGTTGTGGCCACCTGCAGCCCAAAAGGCCCGGGACTCGGGGTTCTTGCTCTAACTCGCTGCCACCCCACTGACGCTCCAGCACCGATGCCTTTAAGCCAGGACCTAAACTTCACTCTTAGTTCCAGTTTGCAAGTGCTGGGAGGTTGTTGGCTCCTATTGGTTTTTTTTGTTGCTTGTTGTTTTGGTTTCTGAGCATGCTTGGGAGCTACTTCCAATTATACCACACAGGGGAATGGAACCCCGAACTCCTGCATGCAAAGCATGCACTCAATGTTTGCACCATCTCCCTGGCCCTGAATGTGAGTTTGATGGGGAATTTTTTTTGGGGGGGAGGGGTGAGGTTGCATACCAGCATACCAGCAGTGCTCAGGAGACTATATCGGGTCCTGGGGATCAGGCCCAAGCGCACCAGTAGCATGGCAAGCTCCCGGCCCCCCCACTATCTCTTTGAAGCAGACATTTCCATTGTTAGGAATCCTTTCCAGGTTTCCTGGAGTGGAGAAAATAATCTTTTTTACAAAGAACTGCCTGCATGGAAGGCCCTCTGTGAGCATTTTCCTGTTAAATCCGAACCAGCTAAAGAAACGTCTAGTTTAAACCCGAAGCAAGATATGTGGCTTGTGGGGTTGGTTGAGTCCACGGAGGCACAATTAATTAGAGCCAAGTTCCTGGTGAAACTGAAATTACAGAATGAGAGGAAATTTGCCAGGGACCAGATCAACACTGGCATAGTAAAATGAGCAGTGAGTCAATAGCTTAGGAAACTGGAGGATGGTTTTCACCAACCTGCTCATACATGACTCTAAAATGCACCACCTTTTAGAGGACCAGAATGGTACAGTACAGCAAGGAAGGTGTTCGCCTGGGACGTGGCTGACCTGGGTTCAATCCCCGACACCGCTGGCGTGACACGAATTCAATCCCTGACACCCCATATGGTCCCCTGGGCCTGCCAGGAGCGATCCCTGAGTGCAGGGCCAGGAGTGAGCCCTAAGCAACGCCATGGCTCTCCCTCTCAAGGCTTCTCAGCTGGTCGCCAGACCCACAGACTCCCTCTGAGTGAAGGTGATGACTCACCCCCATTCAATCCCTTGCTTGGCAGGTATGGGGCAGCTGCGATGTTGCCAGAAGCAGGGGGGCCCCAGGACACAGGCTGGATAAAGTGGACCCACTGTCCCAGGAAGGGTCCCTCTAGTTGGAAAGTCAGATGAATATAGGGAGCTTTTTGACCCCAACTTCGGACAGGCACAAAGGTCTGGGCTGTTATTAGAAGGAAGAGGAATTCATATTAGGCGTCAAATGGACAGCTTTGAGGGGAGGCAGTGGGAGTGCCCGCCTGGGCCCGCTGACCTCTTCACATCACAGCTACTCCTGCGGCTCCCTTGGGTGAACGTCGTTGCCCCAGTGAGTCTTCCAGGGCAGAGGAGGAAAGTCTGGGTGTGGCCCCACAGGGAAGGAAGTGCTTTTCTACAGGTCTCCGGGGTCAGAGGACAAAGCGTGCCCCGCCCCCCCAGATGCAGCCAGCCGGACACTGCCCTAGTCCAGCCCTGTCTCACTGCCCCTTTAGCACGCCAGGCCCTCACGGCTGTGGCCTCTCTCTCATCTGGCCAATAGATATGTTTTGGGGGCCACACCCAGTGATGCTCAGGACTCACTCCTGGCTCTCAGCTCAGGGATCACTCTTGGAAGGCTCAGGGGGTCGTACGGGGTGTCAGGGATCGAATCCGTGTCATTCACGTGCAGGGCAATGGCTCTACCCACTGCACTCTCTCTCTCCGGCCCCTGTAGAGTCCCATACCCACACAGACTGCATGCCGTGGGGGTTTCGTTATTATGTTGTCATCCCAGAGAGATGGACTCGTGGCCCTAAAGAAACCGGCATGCCAAAGAAGCCAAGATGCTCTGGGTGTCAGACAGAGAAGGGACACGTGACTGTGGGCTAGAGGGATTCATTTCCCACGCCCTGAAAGGAGCTCTCTTCTCCTTCTTTATCAGCTGTGCTCACGGGAAAGCATGAGCTTTGCAGCGCGGTGGATTTGCAGAGGACAAGAAGGGGATCCCCTCTTAGATTTTTAGGCCCACAGACACAAGTTCCAGTGCATCCAATCCTTGCCTTCCCGTATAAGAAACCCAGGATGACTTCAGGGGACAGGAAGCTGAGAAGTCAGTCTCCAAGACAACAGGAAGAGACCCTGAGGGCTAGTACAGGGCTTCAGCGCCTGCCTGCATGCCTGGCAAGCCTATGGTCACAAGTTCGACTCCCTGGTGTCTCCCATGGGCTGAGCACCGTCCTGGCAGCTCTGGGATCACCAGTGAGTGACCTCCAGCCTCACAGCAGCCAGGGATGGGTGGGTAGCACACAGAGAAGTGTGAGCCTCTCCCTCTGCGGGCCTTTGAGAGCACTGTAGGAGCATCGAAGCCCCCTGGGAGAGCGTCCCATGTTCGGGCGCCATGTGAGTTCTGGACAGACATGGGTGTATGCGAGCACAATGGCAAGAGCCCCTCAGCTGGAAAGGGGCAGGAGCCAAGCTTGGTCCCGCTCAGCAGAACAACAGCAGCTTCAGGATCAGGGAGGGAAGCGGGAAGCAAAGGGAAGCTTCCGGGGAGAGAGTCAGACACCAGACCGGGTGGGGCCGTATCAGGCACTGCAGGCTCCTGGGAACCCGCCTCCCTTGTCTGTGCTAAGTGGGCTGCAGGTTTTCCGTTGGGATTTCCTCACAATGCAGGAGGGAGACATGTTTCTCGCAAATAAATTCTTTGATTGCTTTGGAGATGAACCCAGTGAGGGGTTTTCTGGTAACAAGACCCCACACCGGCAGATGCCAAGGGGAAAACATACATGATACCATCCAGGCTGCTATGAAAAGGTAAAAGATCTGCAGTTCTCTTACGGGGACACTGGGGAATAGGACTCAGGACTGTCAGAATATTGGCCTGGGGCTGGAGTGCTAGTACAGCAGGTAAGGCACTTGCTTTGCACAAGACTGGCCTGGGTTTGATCCCCAGCACCCCACATGATCCTCCACGCCCTGCTAGGAGTGCTCCCTGAGTGCAGAGCCAAGGGTCAGTCCCGAGCACCACAGGGTGGGACCAAAAAATAAAACAACAACAAGGAACGGAGAGATAGCACAGCAGGGAGGGCGTTTGCCTTTCACACGGCCAACCTGGGTTCAATCCCCGGCATCCCATATGGTCCCCTGAGCACCGCCAGGAGTAATTCCTTAGTGCAGAGCCAGGAGTGACCCCTGAGCATCACTGGGTGTGGCCCAAACAGCAAATAAATAAGTAAATAGATAAAAATAAAAATAAAACAACAACAACAAAACACTGGCCCAAATTTTCAACATTCCAGGAAAAATTAGTTCAATTTAAATATCCTGGGTCATCAAATGTCGTCTGTCCTGGATGCTTTTAGCAGAGCAGTCCGTGAAATGTTAATTGCATGAAAATATGCACCATTACATATGGTGGGGGGGTGGGGAGACTCACTGATGAGAGATCTCAAGGCCAAGCATATTTCTGATCCAAGTCCTCAAATTACAAGCTCTGTCTTTAATCTCTGCCCTCTCATCCCAAGCCAGGCGAGGGCTGCATTGATTCTTCCCCAGTTCAGAAATGAGTGAACTCTCCAGGAGGAGACAGGGCTCCAAATATAATCTGGTCTGAGTTGTTTCTGTCCTCTCTCTTCGGAACTCTTAACCAAAATAGTTCTCGGCTCCATCTGAAGACTTAAGGTGATGTGCAAAGACATGTGGAAGAGGCAGGAAGGAGCCAAAGGGCCGGGCACTTGCCTTGCGCTCATCCCACCAGGTTTCATCCCTGGCACTGCGCACAGTCCCGCAAAACCAGCCAGGAGAGGTAGGGAGGGCAGAGCCAGGACTGAGCCCCAACACCGACACGGCTGGGTGTGACCAAAAACAAAAGGAAAAAAAAAAGAAGCTGATGAATCCGATTTCCTGAGCTGGAGATGAAATTAGAGGACTTTTTCCTGCATTTGACAGAGAGGGTTGCAAAGAGACCCTTGAGCCCAGGTCTATTTGGCAGAAACCAGTTCCTCTCAGCTATGCCCCATGAAAGGGACAGTTCATAGCAGCTGGGATTTATGGGACTTCCTAGTAGCTGGACCCTCTCCAGTGCCCTCATCTTA